CAGTTTCCCGTGCCACGCGACCAGAGAGTCACGAGCCCTGCTTGAAGGTGAAGTCGAGAGCCCGGCGACCAAAGATATAAACACAGACCGATCGAGTTTCCAAAGCACAAGCGTCTCGAAGCACCGACCCTGGCTAGCAAATGCTAGCAATGGTAGGAATAAAATTACTTTTAAGAAATATTTTAGAATAGACATGAAATAGTTGCAGACGAGTAACAGATTAGAATATACATTTAGTCAAACATTGTGAATATTAATGTTTTTGTGTATTCTATACATAAACTACAAAATTTACATGAAAAGCATTGATTAATTTTTCGATCAAACATTAATATATTTACATGTCATTAAGTAGATATTTCGATCGACTTGATTACCCATGAATAGTATAATACATCAATATGTCATTTTTAAGAGACACTATCGAATTAATCGAATGTATCGATGTTCTAGCAGAGCCAATGACAAGCTTGCATTCTGACGTCACAAGAATATAACGTCAATTAAGTAATTAATTGTTTATCTGATATCTTTTTATATGTATTTTGCAGCCACAAATCCTAAATATTTTCAGTTCTTCGAGATATAAGGTTTAACCTTTATTTCGAAGATACACATCAAGAGTCGAGACGGACTACGTGACTCCCTCATCTCACTCCCCACCCCACTCCCCACTCCTCGCGCGGGAGACGTGTCCGATACTGTTCGTCATTCTTCGTCTGGAAAGTGGTGTGAGAAGTGCGTTGACAGCTTCGCGTCTAATTAGGTACGTATTTTTTATTTTTAACCATTTCTATTCTCCTCGTCATTCTCCATCGATGCAATTATACAATATTAATAAGTGCATATTAACAAATTTGTGTTTTATTTCTGTAAGAGTCCGTAATTACAATTCAAACACATGGGGCGCTCAATTACGGTCAAACGTATTTTTCATTTTTAATCGGTTCTCTTCTTTTCGTCATTATCCATCGATGCATTTATCCAATATTAATAAGTGTCTGTTAACAAATTTGTGTTTTATTTCTGTGGCAGCTCGTAATTACAATTCAACCACATGAGACTCTCAACTGCGGCCAAACTACGGTCACACAACAGACGCGACGCCATAATGCTTTGAGAGTTTGTGAACACGTTTCGACAAGAAACCTGTATCTATACGAAAAAGAGTATTTGGCGATGCTCACGTGCGAAAAATGTAAGTATCCTTTGTATTTTGTTCCGAGTACGCTTAAAAAAAATTGTTTGATTTAAATTTGCCATCAAGTTTTCAAATACGGTAGAAACCTTTCGTAAAAACATTTACTCTTTCCTTCTAAAGGATCCCGACATCTCATCATCGTACTTGTGGATCCAGAGAAATTCGACGATGATCTCGCTGCTGACCTTGATGCTGACTTCGTTTCTAACGTCGCTGATGACTTCGCTGATGACTCCTACTAGACGACATCGTCACCCGGGTGCTTGAATTCTACAGTTGGTGAGTCGCATGCTATTTTGTTTCCTCTGGTCCCCAACCATGTTGTAGGATGAAAGATCCGAATCAACACGGGTGACCAGTTGTATACTTAGTATTTTTGACGAGTTAAGTGACCGCGGGTATGAAAAATACCCATGAGTTATATTTTTTTAGTGCAGGCTAGGGTCTTCTTGCACTCGCGTTTTTTAATATTATCAATAAATATTACACAATATGATTATTACACAATTTTGATAAAATATATGAAATATGTTTATTATCTTTATATGAATTAAATAATTGAGTAGAATATGAATTAATATAATGTGAAAACATTATATTAATCGTATGATTGAGTAAAATATCTTACATCATTAATATAATTATTAAATATTCGTTTTATTAATTAATACATCATATGATGTATTTTATGTGCAAGAAGGCGTTTCGCGACTGGTCGATTTTCAACTCAAAGGAACATGGATGTTAATTTTATTTTTTTTTAAATTTACTTTGACGACAGAATCGACCAAGGTTAATTGAATATTTTGAATAATAATTTAACAAATTTATTTCAATTTGCAAAGTAAATTATTTTATCATGAAATCTTTATTAAAGTCTTACATTTGAACAATTAAATTTCAGTCACAAATTTTTCTTGAATAACAATGTCTTTCAATATTAACGTACTCTGTTGTTGATATATTACATATAACAAGTCGAGTCATTTTAACTGAGAATAGATACCGTTTAGTTAATTATTAATAACCGGTTGTTTTAGTCAGGATTTTCAGGATACTTTCCCGTGTTCGTTGCCTAAGTTCATGCACATGCCCAAGTGTTATTTGCACGAGCGAAGGCAACGGGGCACGATGACTTAGTTTGTAACATTTATAATAATAATTTATCTGTGCGACTGACAATGCTAGTGTCTCGTGCACGATGTACTGTCCACATATGTGTGTTTGTGGTTAGGTTGTGGAAGTGCATCGTATCAAAAGTTCATCACAATTCAGATACAGAATTTTTTGATATTAGATTCATACCAGTCACAATAATAATATTAAACTTATAGTTATTATTTACTTGGCAATTGTTCGTATTGCATATACGTCAATGATATTGTAAAATGCATAATGAATTAGCTTTTCAATCTTATATAATCATATATAGAGTATATTTTAATAAAGACTATATCAGATATACTAAAATGTTTTACATAAATAATAAAAGTACGCAATGGGCACTAGCTTTGTCAGTCCACTGCAAAAACTGGTACGTACACAGTTAGAGTATGAATGAAGTTGTGTCCGGGTGTCGGAGGAACCCCGGGGAGTCCTCTCTAGTTTAGGTCGCGCCTGGACATTCAGAATGAGAACCGTGGAGTGTTTGTTTGAGAGACTGAGTTTTGCATTTTTTTAAATATAGGGTTAGGTAGGTAGGTAACTTATTCTCTGGTGTGTGTGTTTAAACCTAAGTCGGTAGGGTCAGGGCAGGACTGTCCACATTAGTAATTCGGGTAGGCGCGTTTTCGAGTGGCAGTTCTGTTCCTGTAGTTACGATTTCGAGAGTAGAAATGTTGCTGATTCAAACGGTGCACTTGTGCTGTTTGTTTCGGCTTTATTTTCGACTCCTCGAATCGCGCGACTCTTAAAGTCGCTCTCTCGCGCCTCGCGGTCGTGATCAGGTCCCTTTCGAAACGTTCGTCCCGCTCGAGATTCACCACGTATGCTCTTGCAACAATTCGTATATTGTTGGAAGACTACGTATTGCACAAAATCTCGAGCCCGGTCTTTCGTAAGTTTCAGGCATCGGCAGGACCGCCGAAGAAAGAAAAGGCTCTCAATGAGCCGAAGAGGCCCTGACAAACTGTCTCAAGAGTGGGCTACAACAAATGGCTTTTCATCTTCATCCTCGGATGAAAATGGAAAGTCATTCCTGTTACTACTTTGTCACTTAACTCGTCTGTAGTTGTAGTTAGTTTATTTTTCTGACTGGCTCACGTATGCATGTACCTGATGGTACATGATTGCACCATACATGCCAGCCATCCCTCCCCATATCCCGCGGTTATGATATACATATAGTTGCGAATATCCAATAATCGCGTTTGCTTGTAGAGTTGCGAATTGTTATTTTTCGCGTTTCCTTTTCAGGGTAGTGTTGCGAATAATTACCTTTCGCGATTGTTTTCATGCAAACTTAGGTACCGGGGGTTTGCTTTAAAAGTAGCGTTGCGAATTATTGATAAACGCGATTGCTCGTAGACTTTGCGAAATACTATTTTTCGCGTTTGCTTTTCAGGGTAGTGTTGCGAATAATTACGATTCGCGTTGTTTTTTACTCTTTTATACATATAATGGACATCAACCGCGTTTGCAATTTTCATACTATAAATTAGCGTTGCGATCTTGATTAATCGTGCGATTTTTTATTTAGCGTTGCGATATTTTCAATGCCCAAATTCTACCCCAATTGTAGTACTAGTTGTAGTTAGTTTATTTTGTGGCCAGTACATGTCTATGTACATGTACAAATAGCCCCTGGTTAAAGTTACAGTTGCGAATAATATACAATGTTCGTGTTTGCTCGTAGATTTGCTAACAAATAATTATCGCGTTGATATATTAGTGCTGCGAATAAATACGATTCGTGATTGTCTTTATGCAAACCTAGGAACCGGGCGTTTGCTTTAAAAATAGCGTTGCGAATTTTTAGTAAACGCGATTGCGTATTAGAGTTGCGAATTACTATTTTTCGCGTTTGCTTTTCAGGGTAGTGTTGCGAATAATTACCATTCGCGGGTTGCTTTTATTCTTACAAATCGCGTTTGGAATTTTTTCTATTATAAATTAGCGTTGCGATTGTTGATTTATCGCGTTGTTGCCCCGTAGTGTTGCGATATTTAAAACGTCTAACTTCATCCCCATATGTGCCACTCTATTGTAGTTTGAAGTAGCTTGATGTAGTTAGTTTCTTTGTACAAGGGGGAGTCAGAGATTTTCGACGAAAAAAAAAAAATTTCACTTTCTTCTGAAACAAGTATGTTTGCTTGCGGGGGTCAAGTACAATCATATTAGGTGAAAAAATACCCCCGAAATCGTACCCACTGTCGAGAAAAACACTCCAGTAAGTATTGAAATTTTTGATGAAATTAAATGTTATTTTATTACAATTATTTTTTTAATCTGAGCTTGAAATACATCCCATGGGTACCTATAGTGACGTACTAGACTATTTATGTGTAAATCGTCCAAAAAATTTGTCAAAAATGAAAATCGAATTTTTCAGAAAAATCGACAGGGGGGTTTGAATCGAAAAACCTCCGAATTTTCAGGTCGATATGGCAGTCAGATTGGCAGAATTTAAATCGCGATCGTAATGTTCAACGGTTCGCAAAAACTAAAGATGTTGCGTGGATGTGTAAATTTAGCTAGATTAAATTATATTTATTTCTTTGTAAATACATTATTGTGAATAGAATGCTTAAATAATATCAGTAGACTAACAACGCATTGAAACGGTTTATGCGAGTGTAAACTAAACTGGATGCTTTCCCTTTTTTTCAGGCATCGGATCAGGTTGAAGACTGAGTATGCGCAAGTAACTTAATTCGCGTTGTCTTTCATGTTCTTCGATGGTTATCTTGTTGAGCAGAATCGGTCCTGTGTAAGCTATGAGGAAGGCGCCGAGCGGTGCCAGGATCAACACTGTAACCACGGATAGTCTAATAATGTCGAGAGCCATTTCGATTTTCTCAAGATCCGGTCCATTGCGTACACGTTCGAATGCCAACGGTCCCAAGCCTGCCTTAAAGTTCGAATCGATGAATCCTTTCCATATTATTCCATTTATTTTTATTTTTATTTAACATGTTCGATTTTATTGCAGAAAGAGAAGCAGTACTGCATCGAGAGTCAAGTATTTACGTATACCTGTAAAGTGCCTTTTGGTAACCAAGCTCCAACAACGAACAATCGTTCCTTCCACGTGAACGAGGTTTTGAGAGTCGTTAAATAGGTAGCGATACTTCGTGCCTGTTTTGAATGACAGAGAAGAGATTTATTGTAAACGAAGGAACCGAATCAGATCGAATCCCTATACGGAAACAACTTACGGTCAATCCTATGAAGATACATAACAGATGAAGAAAGAGTCTGGATACACACCAATTCGTGAAGTCGATATCGGCGCCGATAACACCGGCCAAAATCGGTTGTACCACGTGCCACAGAATATATGACACATGTCGCAAAGGTGCTGACTATCGAAAGAGTTATGTGCAGATATAAAGATAGAGATTTCCTAGCCTGTCTCTCGTTTATAGGATAAGACAGAGTAATATGTCTCGTTACAAGTATAGAATTATCGACAATTTGTATGAATAATGTTCAATAAGCACAGAGAGGCACAGGAAAAGTGTCTGAATAAAACATTTACATAACAGAAGATGGTGGTAATATTTATAAGTTTGTTGACGTTTACTTTATTGATTTATTTGATACTTAATAATACCATAAAGTACAACCTAGAAAATGCAACAGTTGTCTTTCATTTATTTGTGTTGGTTTAGTAGTAAATTAATAAGGCATATTTGCATTATGTCATCATAGTCCAGTTCAAGACAAATCCGCTATTTTACAGAATTGTTAGGCGTGGCGTATTACACTGGTTTATCTTACAAAGTCGAACATAACGTGGAAATACTAACGTCGAAAGATGCTGACAGGATTCTCCAACCGGTGATGGCGACGAACGACATGATAACGCAGGCAAGGAATCCGCCACCGGATATGGCAATGGTCGCCGTGAACGCGGTGCACATCAGGGATCCAAGCACCAACCCGATCATGCGGAAACAGGTCGCGTATTTCTAGTTCATGGCGGAATAAACGAAGAAAATTACAGATTCGGTTTTACAGTTTTCAAAAAAAACAAAAAAAATTGAAACAAGGACGGGTACTTACGTGACTGCGATGAGGGAAGAAAGTGAACCAAATTCCCAAGATGGATCCCATTAGAATGCCCAGTATAAAGTCTCGAAGACCGGCGGGTATGTAAAACCACCACTCGGTTCTGTTTTTTTCTGAAAAGCTCGAATTTTACTTTCTTATTAATTATTCGTAATTATCAGAGATGGGCAAGCTTCTTATTTGGAGAAAAATTTTCTTTCGTTCTCTTAATGGTTGATTTATATTATGCTACATACTTTATAAATCGTTATAAAGATTATATACAGATATTATAAATCGATCTTAATAGGGCCGCTAAGAAATCGAAGAACTACTCGTACGTGTTGTCATCTGTTGTTCGAATGAAACGTGCCAATCTCTGTTGAAGGCTTGGCAACGACGGCGCGCTTACCGTCCGCGAAAACGATCGAGAAGCAGACAGCGAAAATAGAGACAATATGGACGTCGTCGATACAGGCAGCGGTGCAGAGCATGGTTGCCAGTCCCTTGTCTTCGCCGTAGCCACGCTCAGCCAAAGCTAAGATACCGTTGAGGGTTAGCACCGGAGACATGCAGGCGAGTATCGACCTTCGATAGGGAAGAACGAAGGATAAACCAGGGAAGGAACGAGAGGAAATGAAGAAGAAACCACATTTCGCGTATGCATGTGGTGTCGACGTCTTCACCGATTTCAACAACCTTATGCCATGTTGGAGGGAAAAGATCACCGACAAGGTGAGAACTAGATTAAATATTTCTACCGATACGCGAATCAAATTAATATTCAGACACTCTACAATTTGTCCTGTGCAAGTGCCTAAGAAATGATACCTATATTCATAGTTCATTGTTTGTGTTAAGTAGTATGTACCATTCTTTCACGAGAAGAAGGCACTGCGTGTTCACATCCCCACTCCTGTTGCAGTCCGCTGACTCGCAGGTATTGGTCGGAAACGGTAGCGAAGATCGGTGACGGCCAATCAGCGAACTACAGCAAGAGTGGGGGCACGAACACGCTGTGGCTTCTCGTGGAAGAGAAACATTGATAATTTAAGGAGAAACGAACGTCGAACCGTGTACTTTCGACGATCAGACTCACCCAGTCATGAAGGACCAGTCCCAGGAGTACAGCAGAATGCCTCTGCAACACATAGTTACAATGAACATTTCTACCGAGCAAGGAATCAGGCCCAATGCCAGTAGGAAGATCGGATGTTTCCTCAAAGACGTGGTCGACAATTGAAGTCCCGCCCGTATCATGATAAAGGACAGGCAAAACGTTCTGATCTTGGCGGTCGCGGTGAGACCGAGGTCCGCGCGGATATTGTACAGTCCGGAGTTGCGGACGATCAGACCGGCGAGCAGCATCCCGAACACCGGCGGGAGATTCAAATAAGGTATGTACGACAAGCTCCAACCGAGCGCGTAAGAGAACACTGCGAGAAAGTACAAACCGAAACCTTCGTTTCTCGGGATCATCGTGTCGCCTAATATTAAGAATAAGACCAGCCAACCGAGTACCACTAATCCTATACTGGTAGCCGTCCAGAACAAATTCGCCCATGTCAAGTGAATTCCACACTTGTTTACAATTGGGGTCGTTACGATGATATTTCGTATGATAGGATGGATGAACGTCATCAGATGACAACACGTAGTATCTTCGTCTATGTCTTTCTCCTGTCTGTCTCTTTCCTCTCTTTCCCTCGCGTCTCTGCCTCCAAACATCTCGGGTTTCTATTTCTGTTTCGTTCTCGAGGGCTTTTTCTTTCGACGTGAACCTTTATGCGGTCCAAGGACTGTTTACGTTCATTTTATACTTTAAATCGAGACAATTGTTTGACGAATTTGTTCTTGGTGTATACGATTCGCCGTTTATAAGAGCAAATACAACTGTTTTCTTTCTCTTTCGAACATACTCTTGATATTTGATAACGAAATATTAGTATGTGTACCGTTGGGATTCAGGTTATGTTTTAATTCGATTGTTTTGTTTGATATTGACAGGTTCCCTAGAACGGACGCCATTAAACTTCTCACAAACGTTATTCGTAAAATATTTTCTCGGATTGTTATGGTCGATGGACGGTTTTGAGTTTCTGCATTTACTATTTCGATAGTTGGGTTGATCGTGATTCTCGGTGTCGTACTTAAACGCAGAGTGCCCTGAAATACCATTGATGTTCCCCGAGGTCGATACTTCACTTAGTTTGTGACCACAGCCGAGGTATACGAATCGACGAAGTGTAGGCACACGCGAGATATAGAGCAGACATTTACTGGGAGTTGGTGTCGCAGGAACTGAAGTACAGACTTTGCGAAAAATTAAGACGATATTCTAGTCTGACGTTTTGAAAGAATCCAATATTATCTCGTTAAGAGTTGGGGTAAATATTATTTAAAGACGTATTGTACTGTAGATTCTTATTTAATTTATGAGAAACATACGGTATTTTAAGCAGAATTAAATCTTATTATAGTCAGCTTTTTTTCAGGCAGAGTCTTTCGAAAATTTTCTCTATTGCCCCGGTTCCTCGATAGTTTTGCAAACATATATTAAGAGAATGTGGATAGAAGGTATTCAAATTCCGTGTAAAAGGAAAGTGGTTAGCATGTGGTTAGGGCGGGTCTCTATACGTAGCAACCACGAGGCGAGAGACCTCGAGAATCGATAATATTTAGTATGCAACTAATTGTATCACCTGCAGCAGCTTCATACAATAATTAATTATATGGTACACAATATCAGCAAATAGGTTGCAATCTTCTTCGCGTAATTTATTATAAAGCTCGATCGTAAAGTATGTCAGGTTATATTATGTTTTGGATGTAACAATCGAAAAACATATTTTATTCAACATACCCGCCAGATTTAAATCATACTGGATATCAATCGTTTTTAAATGTGTAACTTAGTTTTAATTCGTGTCGCCAGTAGCGCTGAGATCTTATTCCACTCTGAATCAATAATGGATACGAAAAATTAGTACAAAAATAGTAGAGACTTTTATAACCCCTTGAATTATGTAACAGAAAATTTCATTGAATGTATCATTCACCCTGAATCTCGTACGTGGCCGCGTTTTAGATATCGGTTTCTAACGGAGGAATAAAGAAGTAGTTGCCTCCAAATTAAAACGAGGGCGTTGCATGTACTACGTAACCTCTATTTTAAATTCGTTATTCACGAGAAAGAACTTCTCTAATATTGCCAATTCATACCGTAATATTCAACTCTAAAAGTTCATATTTTATTCACAGGAAAAGAGTAATTAGCGAATAATCGAATGGCGACCTTATATTCTCTCTTTCTAGTCTCGTTCGTCGACACCTCCTTTCCTATTCTGCGCTCCTGATAACTTTCAATAGTTCGAATCCTAATTTATAGATGGTGTGGCATGGTACGATATGAATATTTTAAACGTCGAATAAGAAAACTATCGTTTTCAATAGTTGTTTATAACTGATTAATTACGTGAAAAATGCGTAGAAAAATTTGTTGAGTAACTTAATTAGGAATTAACTAGATTCGAGCGATATTTATTGCGGTTATAAGGTATTATGAAAGAAGGAATTTAGCATATCCTTGGAAGCCTATGGACTCGACTCGGGACAGTTAACAAAGAGAGAGATCCTGGAGTCGAGAACTTCCGTACGACAGAATTGTCGGTGCACATCGACCAAAGAACCGTCTGATTCCTTGAATCGTACCACCAGAGAAACGCGATTGACCGTTAGGACCTGCTAGCCGAATGGGCACTTGCTTCTTTCGTGCAAGCACCGGTAGTCGTTGAGGGCAAGATCGATGCGGAGAAACGTTTCGATGAATAGCGAAACGTTGATTAGAAGAATCGATAGGAACCTAACGCTGAACAAGAACAATTTATTACGATTTCTTACGATCGATTCGCTGCGGTACGTTTCCAGACTCCGCTCCGTCTTCCCTTCCGAATACGATAGGAGCTCTTATCTTAGATTCCACTAAGGAACATCGTAATGGTTGATGATTCGCGTTGATTCGTTGTTCGAGCAGGTAAAACCGTCGTCTATTCCCTTTCATCGCCGTCCTAGTGCATTTTCGATTCCCTTTATTTCGACGCTTATCGTCTTGCCCCTTTTCGGTTTTTCTTGACACCTTGTAGTCCCTCTAGGCCTCTTCTTAGCCTCTTCTTGGCTCTTCAGCCTCCTCTTGGCCCATTTAACCCCATCACGGCTTTGCTCTTGCCGGGATAAATTTTCGACGAAAATAAAAAATTTCAAATCGTTCTAAAAAAATTATCTTCAGTTCCGGGGGTCAATTACAATCATTTTTGGTCAATAGATATACCCCCGAAATCCTGCGTATTTTCGGTAAAAAAATTCGAGGTGTGAAATTTTTCGACGAAATTAAAAAATTTCAAATCGTTCTAAAAAAAATATTTTCAGTTCCGGGGATCAGTTACAATCATTTTTGGTCAATAAATATACCCCCGAAATTTTACGCATTTTCGAGACAAAAATTCAGGAATGTGGACAAAGGCGACAAAATTAATAAATTTCAAATCGTCCTAAAAAAATTATTTCTGTTTGCAGGGGTCAATTGCAATCATTTTTGGTCAATACACATGCCCCCTAAATCCTACGTATTTTGGAGAAAAAAATTCCTTACCGCAAATATAACGTGTGGCCAACGAACTGTGATTATATTCCTCGTTTTTATCACTTCGTATGCAGGTATAGTCCAATTATCCGAGATATCTGATTTTCCTGCATTGCCCCAGTCTCCAGTGTGCCGGATAATCGGAATTTTACCGTAACATTCAACAGAATAGACTAACAAGTTGTAAGTTTCGACCACCGAATAGAGTTACGAGTTCCAAATTTTATCCAAAAAAACACGGGTACTGGAACTTGGAGATCC